TAATTCATTTTCATTTATTAACTTGATTTCTATAATGACGAGAAAACTTTTCCCCCTTTGTGCTAGACATTTTGATTCAAAAATGTTTGTATTCGAAATGTTGTAGTGACATCTCAATGCATAAATGTTCTCTGCTGAACTGATTAGCTGGACATAAGTATTCACTTGCCATCATCATGTAAGACTGCAGGGAGAAGAAACAATTTGCAGGCAGTTCAGGCATCTTAAAGCCAAATGAACCGTACACCTAATGGGAAATCTAAAATGCACACAATCAATGATTCAGGAAAAGAAAAAGCCCTGGGTAAAAACAGCTTTGACGTGCTGTAACAACTACCTGTACTGCTGTTGAGCTTTTTTTTTTGTTTTATCTCCTACTTTTTCACCATATTCAGTATAAATTGTAGCTTTCAAAACTTTGGGCATTTGGTCAGCAGCCTTTAATTTAGATCCAAGTTTTCAATGTACAAATGAGCTTTCCTTGCTTTGCGGTGCGCAAATCATCATATCATACCATGATATGTGGCTCTGTGTGCTTTTTTAAATGACAAAAAAAGACTGTAAAAATAGAACATGTAAAATAATAAGGTGTTTTGTTGGTCACACTTTTTTTTCTATATATATGATAATTACTGTAATGGTGTAATATGTATGTTGTTGCATGTCACAGATAGGAAAGCAGATCATTATGAACTGCCAGAACTACTGTGAAAAGTGTTCTTCTGTGTAGTGTCAATGAACATCAATTTCCGCTTTTTTCAGCTCCATTGATCTAACTGTTTAAAACCGTTTTTAAGACATCATTCCATGATTCTGTTTTATAATTTATTTTTTTCACAGAATTTCAAATTAATTTTGGCACCTGCGACAATCAGTGTAAGACTTTTAAAGAGTATTTGCACTTTAGATGTATAATAAATTATTAATATATTTACCTAGTAGCGTCCCTCTCAATCTGGGTATTGAAGCCTCCAGTCTTAAAAACACGTCGGCTTGTTGCCTGTTGTTGAGAACCAGTGTTCACTGTGTATAGAACATGATCGCATTGTCCAAGAAGATGTCCGTTTGAATGAAGACCCAATATGTTTCACGGCTGATTGATATCTCATTGACTAGCCTCTTTACTATCAGCCGGAGGGGGGGGGAAAAAAACATCAGTTACCTACATCAGTGCTGTGCTGACGATTCCGATTGACATATGGTTATGTTTGGATCATTCGTGTTGACCATGCTGGAAACCGTCAACTTTTGCTTCCATTTGCCGAACCAATCAGTTGATTTTTCTGGATACCGATGCCGTTCATTTGATATATGAAATACGTGTACCCGTTTTGTTGCATAAAATGTTTTTAAAATAGAATTGAGTTTTGTAACAAAAAAAAAACAAAACTTTTGGATTCCTGTCTAGACTTCCCTTTTTGTTCGGTTTTTTTTTTAGAGAAAAAAAAACACGACTAGGATACACATGTGTTTTACTGGCCACAGTACTGTAAGAAATCTTACAAAATCTATTAAAATTGACAAAAATCCTTTGTATGTGTCTAGTGTTTTATTTGGATATTGAATGCTGTTGCGTTACCCGTTTATCTGGCAAATCTTAATGTGAGTAGTGGCGTGATATGTAGACGATGCCACATCAGGGTTTAGTGGTTCACTGAAGAACAAACAGCAGCTGGAAACATTTGTAGGTCAAACTCACTGAGTAGTTAAACTGTTCAGTGAGTGTACATTCATATTTCACGAGAGGGAGGGAGGTTTGATTATTTGATTATATGAGTTTTGTATTCTGAGATGTCAAATGAGTTGGAGAGGGAGGGGGATTTATAATCAAGAGGATATTACCTAATTCTCAGGTAAACGTGTGGCGGAAAGTCACTGTTCAGGGGAAAATCTCAAAAAGAAAATGAATCTGGACGGAGGTCGGAAGGTTTGCATTTCGTTGAGTGTTTTCAAGACGAGAAACTATCACGCGTCTCTTAACGCCAACACTAGGCAGCGGTATAGAGCAGCTTTTTACCATTTTCTGATCTCAGTTATTGTTTATTTAACATTAGTGTGTAATTTCATAATTTTTTTAAATTGGCTTCGAGGAAGCATTTTAACAGATCGTTAAGAAAGATCAAGTTCCCTAAAATTGCAAATCTGTTTACTACAAGTCACGATTGTTGTTTTGAAACTTATATATGCATTTATATAGCGCCCTTCACGCGAGGTAGTGTCCCCGAGCGTTTCAAGAGTGGCATTGTGAAAACTGGGCATTGGCACAAATCAAACTGCAAAAAAACTGCAGTATGTTCAATTTTACACGTTCTGAACCTAACCAGATTAGCTAGATTTCATTTTATAACAAAATGCGTTCTTCTTAGATAATTTACTCTTTTGCAACTTTGGTTTTTTTTAATCAGTTTAATAAGTAAGCCAGTAAAATGGGTTATTTTTTTAAAAAAAAATGCTGTGGCGTAGGATTCATACGAGAGTTTGTTATACAGTGACAATGGTCACAAGAAGATGAGATTGTTTTTCCAAAATAGCAGAAACCGTTCTGTTCTAAGATGACAGCTGGAAATGTTTATTTGGGAAGTGGTGTTAAATACTCGAAATACAGAAACAAAAGAAAACTGAGTTTGCCAACACAAATAATCCAGCATCTTTTAAAAATATGCAATGTTGGCACTGTCCCAAGACCATGTTATATTTGACATAGAATATTGCCTTATTTGTACAAGGCCTTGATTGAAATCCTTGCTTTTGCAAAGGAAATAAAATGTAGAGTTTTAAAGCAACAAAATTAGTTTACTTGTACAATAGAAGCTTCCTATTCAAGTCAGCAAATGGACTGAGGAATTTGGGACATATTAGGGAATTATAGGGACTACAAGTGAGGTCCAGTTTACTTGTCCCACGAATCGGAATCTTATTAGCAAGTCATGACTTTTAAAAAAAAATCTGAAACAAATAACTGCTGTACAGACGCAATGTGTTTGTTGCATTGTGCTCATATGCCCTGTGAATTAGTGTTTAAAGAATCTTATCAAACAACGTAACAGCTTGCATTTATATAAGGGCTTTAAACATACAATGTCTCAAACCATTTTACAGAGATGCTTTACAAGTCGGGTATAGTCGTGTATTTGCTCATTGCCCTGGGCATTTTTGCTGGAAGAAAACACAACAGTAATTTGCACTTACATAGTGCCTTTGGAGGTATAATTTCATATTAAATGGTACCTGCACTTACAACTCGCTAAACAACAACAAGATTCCATTTATTGAGCGCCTTTCACGTCGGGAGGACGTCCCAAGGCGCTGTACAGTTGGGTCAGGACCCGAGCATTGGGGGGGAAATGGTCAGGGTGAGGGGAGGGAGGGAGGGAGCGAGGAGGGGGTAGAGAGTCGAGAGGGGAGCTGAAGGTACGGTCAAAGAGAAAGGTCTTGAGACCGGCCTTGAAGGAGGAAAGGGAGGAAGCGGCGAAGGCACTGGGGATGGAGTTCCAGAGCCTCGGGGCTGAGAGGCTGAAGGCCACCGATGGTAGGGCGGTTGGGGCGGGGGATGTGGAGCAGACCGGAGCCAGAGGAACGGAGGGTACGGGCAGGTAGGGAGGGGGATAGTAGGTCGGAGAGGTAGGAGGGAGCGAGGCCGTGAATGGCCTTGTAGGTGAGGGTGAGGATCTTGAATTCGAGTTAAAGGCGGTTTCAAAAGTGTTCTCTTTCTCCCGCGTTCTTAAAGGAGACAACTTGTGCCTTTTTGGCAGTGTGACGCTTTGGCAGTCCTCCAGGACCTCATGCAAAGGGATTTGCTGTTACAATCCTAAAATACCCCATATAATGTACTCTGCGGTTTTGATCGCACAGTGTGAAAAGTGCTGCGACTGCTGCTCCAGCTGATTTACCATCCTTGGACTGACTGAGGTGGCTGTGTAGATAAGTTTCTGTTATATACTACTCGCAGCTACGCTTCCAACCAGTTTAATTTAATCGGCCTCTCTCTTGACAGGCACTTTTACTTGTCCTGGTGAAAGGCTTGATCTTCGCTTCTTAGGCATCTTTAATCTGTTAAGATTGAGGATGTGTGCTATTGAACGCGATCACATATTTGCAGACGTAGCGTTCTGATTCCTGTTTAGAGGGAAGACTCAGTGGGAGGACTCCTGTGGGAGGATTCATGAGACACAGACAGACGTTTTGTCTTTATTAGTATCTTGTTGGGGGGCCTCAGTGGGAGGACTCCTGTTACTGCTTTGTTGCAGAATAACGTGCATACTTTTTGGGGGCCTAATGAAAGCATTTTTTACTATATTTTTTAATATAGCTCATCAACGATAGGAGACCCCTGAAAAAAAAATAAGCCCGTGATGCTTCCCCATTCAAGACCTTTCTGATGAGGTATAATAATAATAATAATAATAATAATCCTTGCATTTGATATAGCGCTTTTCACGTCGGGAGGACGTCCCAAAGCGCTTCACAGAACACACTGTAAAGTGAATTGACTGTATATTTGTGGGCGAACGCGGCGGCCAATTGCGCACAGCAATGTCCCACAAACAGTCGTAGATTGAAAATGACCAATTTTTTTTTATTATTGTTTTTTGGTTTTTTTAGAAAATCATGTTTCTACATCAATCAGTTATTGAGTTCTTGGCGAACACACCCACAGACAGACATTTCAATTCCAGGCAGAGGGCGAAACCTTGGGCAAGTTTCCTTACTCCACACAGAGCCTAATAATAATCCCTCCAAAACAATAATTAAATTGGTCATTTTCAATCTACGACTGTTTGTGGGACATTGCTGTGCGCAATTGGCTGCCGCGTTCGCCCACAAATATACAGTCAATTCACTTTACAGTGTGTTCTGTGAAGCGCTTTGGGACGTCCTCCCGACGTGAAAAGCGCTATATCAAATGCAAGGATTATTATTATTACGTCCTTGTTAGTATAGAGGACAGATAGAAGAAGATAATGTCAAATAATGTCAAATGAGAAAAACTGGAAAAAAAATGCCCACATTAGTGAGCCAACTATCTTAATGTGGTTGCCTTAACAACAAATTACATTTGTACAGTGCCTTTCACATCGGGAGGACGTCCCAAACCACTGGACAGTCAGAGTTTTGGACCCGAACTGGGGTTCGGGATCAGGAAGGGTGGAGGGCAGGGAGGTTAAATTTTTTTTTACTTAAGATGAGTTTCCCCTAATACATTTTGTAACGTAGAACAAAAAGTTGTGATTTGTCTTGTTTTTGGAGGAGGGGCATAAAATCACACTGGTGGAGTGGAGAAAAGGGAACCTAACTACTCTGCAGAGGTTTCACATCAGACTCCTGGTACTCCTTGGTTTTGGGTGCCAAAAATTTGAACACGTTCAGCAATCGTTTATCATGGATTTTTGATGAAGACAAATTGCCAAAGAAATAGAGAAGGGTCGGCTTCCGTTTTACATTTAAATATCTCCCAACAAAATCAAAACGTTTCAGTTTAGTGTTAGGGGAGAATAACTCAGACAGAATTCTCGCTGCTGATCACAATCTGGTGACTCTGGAAAGGGTTTGCGTGCTTTTGTGAATGTTGGGTGTAGACAAGATTGGTTTTAGCTTTGATGTCTCAAATAGCCTGAAGGGCCTCTTAAAACTCACTGTCTGCAGCGGCACATGAAGAATATTTGCCTATGGGAGGGAGTGGGAGTCAGACACTGTCCACAAGATCTACACCA